ATCAATTGAAAAAACTTAAAAGTTTAATTTCAGAAGTACGAACGCTATCAAAATACCTGTTTTTCGATTTCTCCAGGATCTTGTCGGCCTCGTTTCTGTTGAGATTCGACGGCTCCCTTTCGATGCTGCTCGATTTCTGCATCCCGTTGAGTTAAAACTAAAGATTAAAATGAATGCAATACTATCTATTAAATCGAAGCAAGATAAAAAAATCAAACCAAAACCACTAACCTGACTCACGATCGGAATGGAGTTCTTCGTCGGATTCGGGAAAGTATGACGGATTTTCTGTGCTAGTTGCCAATATTGCTTCACTCCAATCGTCAAATTTCTCGCCTTCGAAAACCTAAAAATACAAACTAAATGCTTTGAAACACAATTGTCCTACCTCATTATCAATATCCGTAACATTTCTCTCCTCATTTGTTGGAATCTTTCCGTTTTCATTTGCGAGTACCATTTTCTTACAAACATTGCTTCAAAGGAGATCGGCCAATTCCCCGATGAAAGCGTCTATTCTTCATTGATTGCACAATGGGGAAGAATACGTGCCCATTTTGTCGATTTCTCTTCCCTCAATTGTGTACGAAGTCTTCTAAAGAAAAACATAGGGTACAATTTTTAAATGTGGTTTAGCACCAGAAAACAACCAAAAAACTTATCCAGAGTTTTACTTTAATTACTTTGAAACTCGTTTTTTTAACTAAGTGATTCTCTAATCCTGTCTCTTTCCCCCTTTCTACCGTAATCTTATCTCTTTTTTATTCAATCTAACCACTTTTTCTTTATTTCGAATATCGGAAGGTATAAAAAGTGGATATATTGAACTTTGATTTTTCGAGTTCTTTGAGTTCAGGTGAAAGCTTTCCTTTTCTAATATTTCAGTTTTGTTCTGTTCAAATGAAGCTTTCGAAGCTCATTAGATCTTCAACCTCTTGCATCTTAAGACCAACTTTGAAACTTGTTCTTTTTGATCCGTTTTCAAAAATATATCAAAATTATCAAAATATCAAAATATATCAAAATTCTGATCACTGAATATTCTAAAATGTGCTAAAACTTGCAATTAAGTTTGATCTGAAATTTCTTTGTTTCAGAGTGCTCGATTTGGAAAGCAAAATGAGTTTTCAGTTGAGGCTTTTCTTGGGCCATTTTGCATTCATTCATTACCGAAAACCTTGACTCTTTACTAAAATCTATTCATTTTTGCCTTTTAAACACCACAAAAACATGAGTCTCTTGGAAAAAACGGAAAATATTTGACAGAAAAAAATCGGGTTTCCAAAATTTCTGCTATTTTTGGTCTTTTTTTCTTGAGATTTCGGCATTTTGTCTTAAAATTAGTCATTTAGATACTAAACAAACAATACTGTTTTACAGAGAAGCATTTTTTGGGGTTTTTCTTTGGAAAATCGATTTTCTAAGGGTTACGGTAAGTCTGGGTAAATAAGTTTTGGTATTGTCTGCGAGAGAGAGGGACAAATCGAAAAATGATCAATCAAGGATTTATGAAATTCGCGGGAAATTAATGAACAAAACACGAGATTAGAAAGTCAATAAAGTGATGGGTAAGATTTGAAATCCAAATCTAACACCGGAATTAAACGAGCGAAGGAAGTGCTTAATTCAAAAAATTTGAAACATGGTTTTTAAAAAACCCGATCAAGCACTGTAGCTTGGGAAAGAGAGCTTAAAAATGGCTTTTAAATGCTTCCATAAATGGCTTTTAAATGCTTCCATAAAGCGTTTTTAAGTTAAAAACCTTGAAACATGCACCTTCTTAAGAAACAAAACTAAGATCGTATTCTGGACGTCAAGGGAAAGTGTTTGTGACAGACAGACGGACAAACAGACAGACAGACGGACAAACAGACAGGCAGACGGACAAACAGACAAACAGAAAGCATGTAGCGACAGCGGAGAGACGCTGTAAGTCTTCTTTCTTTAGATTTCTTCATTAAAATCACAGTTTAATCAAAGGAAAAGCTTTTGTTAGAGTTCTAACATCAATTGCGATAATCGAATTAAGATAATTGCAATCTCCTGGCACCATTTCGATAATATTAGCTGATCTGTGAGCCAATTTTCACCGCAAAAATCGTGTTACAATGTTCTAAAGCCATTGTTAGTCCGTGAAAAACCGAAATACACTCTGTACACTGTAAACAAAAACAAAAAAACCCCAAAACCCATCGAAATTTCACCGCCAACCTATCAATCACCTCATCGCATTTTCTTCTCGATTTCCCCCCCAACTGCCTTGCCTCAATCTCTTCCGGACTCAGCGATCCATCGTGAATCTTCACCTCATCATACCCACTTTCTCCATCCATGTTTGGTTGTGTGTCGGGAAGGATGATTTGGCCTCGCACAAAACAATCCCTTTCAAATGCGCTGAGAATCGAAAAGAAGACGGGGAAATGAGATGTGGAAAAGAGAAATGCGGAAGAGGGGAAAGGGAGAGAAATACTAGAAACTAGAATACTAGAAAGAAGAGAGAAATACTAGAAACTACGGAAGGGAGAAGAGACCTTTTTGGAGGGGGGAGGTTGGGAAAGCGGAGAGAGGAGAGAACTTTGTTTGACTCATACAGAGGTGCACTTCGAATGCTCTTCGAATTATGCTCTTGTGCTCTTCGAATACCTTGTAAACACATTCTTTTTGGTGCACTTAATTTCTCGCATTTCCCGTTAAGTTATTAAGAAAAGAGTAAATCGGGGAAGCTTAACTTTATAAAATAGGAATTCTAGTGAGAGAAGTTGAATCATTGACTTTAAAAATCTCTCAAAAGGGTCTTTTTCATTGCAGATGACTTTAAAGACTTAACAAATTTGTATACTAAATAAAATTAGCTAATTAACTAATTTCAAAAGAATTTCTACCCGAAATTTGTGCCCTTAAGAGCCACAAGGCCATTTTCTTTCTACTAGATTCATTTGAAGGCGTCATGAATCGAAGAAATAGAGTTAACACTATCAAAAGTAAAACTGATTTTTGAAACTGAAACGACCCGCTGAGGGGGACAAAATCCGCAGAAAGTACCCGGATAGGATTCCAGTCGACTTAGAATATCCCTAGTAGCTCCTCAACTGGCTGAGCCAACCTAGTAGAAGTAAAGTACAGTACAGTACGGTCAAAAATGTATTGTCTAGTGCTCCGAAAATCCAAAAACAATGTACAATGTTGTACCTAAAGTCCCAAATACCTAATATCAAGGCTTTATGGAGAAGTTGAGGCTATTGCAGCAGACTTTTTTGAAAAAAAATTTGATGTTTCAAAGTTTTTGATGTGAAATGTGATTGAGCCAAAGTAATGATTGGTCAAGATCTGAATCGCTATCATTAGTCAAACAGTAGAAATTTCAAAAACTCCGTTTTCAGGTCTTAAAGGCTCAAATAAATTTTGGTGTTTCAAATTTACTTTTTGAAAAATTTACTTTTTTTGGCTAACGTTAATCTTCTGGTAAATTCATGGTAATCGTCGAGAAGGCCTCAAAATTAGTTTGTATACCAAAGAATTTTAGCGAACACATGAAATCAGTGATTTATGGATTATTCTCTTTACCTGTTATCCTCTTTACCTGTCATCGGTTTTAAATTAGTGAATTTTATTTTATTTTATCTTTGTTGCTAGTTTTTGATAACTTTTAAATGTTACGTCTACCTTTACCTTTACCTGTCATCTTTCCTTTACGCCCTTTTCTTCTTCGTCAACAACGTCATTCGACAAACCACCATGGGACAACTCTATCAGGTAAGAGGAAACAGAAAAATCTTCATTAATTAGAAAGACAAAACATCGGCTAGAAGTCGTTAAATTTGAAACTGTTGAATTTGAATTTGAAACTAAATGGCTAACGTTAACTAATTAGCTGAATGGGACTTGTTAATCAAATAAGTTAAAACACGGACACAAATTAAAAAACACCAATTTTTTTCTTCATAGTAAAGTGTTTTCTAACCACCTTTAGCTTCTGCGATTAGCCCAATTTTGTTCTGATTAACTCGAGGCTTGTGATATCTTCAGCGAGTTTCACCAAAATTGGGCTAATTGAGGGTAAAACTGGCGGAAGATTACGTTAGTTTTGGCCGAAATTGATTGTTTGTCTGTAAGTCTTGTTGTTTGTCCATCTCATGAGCTCATGAGCTCGTGAAAAAACAATGGGAAATATAAAAGCTGGCTGAGAATCTAGTTTTGCAGGAGGTTTGGAAAAAGAGGACACTCCGTGCGACTAATGTTTGTCTTGTTAATCAAGTAAGTTAAAACACGGAATTTTTTTCTTCATAGTAAAGTTCATGTTTCAAAGTTTTTGATCTGAAATGTGATTGAGCCAAAGTAATGATTGTAATAATAATCTCTTTACCTGTCATCTTTTCCTTACGTCAACAACGTCATTCCCTATTTTTTTCTCTATTGATTTGATAGATCTTTTAAAAAGTAATGATTCGTTCAAAATTATTCCCTTTACGCCCTTTTCTTCTTCGTCAACAACGTCATTCCACAAACGATGACCACCATGGGACAACTCTATCAGGTAAGAGGAAACAGAAAAGGTCTCTTCTCCCTTTCTATTCTAGTTTCTAGTATTCTCCCTTTCCCTCTTCCGCATTTCTCTTTTCCACATCTCATTTCCCCGTCTTCTTTTCGATTCTCAGCGCATTTGAAAGGGCTTGTTTTGTGCAAGGCTCTGCGAGACTGCGAGACGAAAGACTTTTGGCGATGAGGCGATTAATAGGTTGGCGGTGAAATTTCGATGGGTTTTTGGGCTTGGTGTTTTTTTTGTTTTTGTTTACATTCGGAGTGTATTTCGGTTTTTCACGGACTAACAATGGCTTTAGAACATTGTAACACGCCTTTTGCGGTGAAAATTGACTCACAGATTAGCTAATATTATCGAAATGGTGCCAGGAGATTGCAATTATCTTAATTCGATTATCGCAATTGATGTTAGAACTCTAACAAAAGCTTTTCCTTTGATTAAACTCTCTCCGCTGTCGCTACATGCTTTCCGATCTTCCACCGAGATCCCGACGCGCCATTTGCAATCGGATGAACAGGTCACAAATCTTCGTCCTAAAGCAGAAAAAACATGCTTTGCCTTTCTGCCTTTCTTGAGGATACTGTAGTCTGTCTGTCGGCCTTTCTCATTTTTAACCATTTTTAACGGACATTCTCTGAAGAGCTTTCGAGGAACACATTCAATGATTTTAATAAGCCAATAGTTTATTGAGTTTGAAATGGAGAGTTTGCGGAATGGGATCGCCAAACCGCCGCGGTTCACGTAGAACGGTGTGCCCATTACCATAATCTAAGAAAAACAGACTTTAGATCAAGAGTAAGGAAACAGTTCACCTATCATCTGCATCCACGTGCCCGCTTGGCAAGCCTAAAAAAGGAAATGTTTGTATAATAAAGCTTTACAACTTCATCGACTTCATAGACGCTTAAATCCCTATTTTTTCAGCTCAAAATAAACCAACTCACCCTGTAAACCAACTCTTCGAGCTCTGGCGCAATTCAATTTTGACGGCCTCCGGAATCTTCCGCTCGATGCCCCAATCGGGATGGTCGACGAAATGGCGCGAGCACGCATAGAGCACCGTTTCCACTTCGAAAGCGTTGGCGGCACAAACGAGGCCTAAAGTAAACACAAGTAGTCACATCTTAACTTCAAAAACCTCTTATTACAGCAACTAGAGGACCCTTTTACAAAATTACGTCCTTAAAGTTAATTGCGCTTAAAAATCACAGATGACTTAAGCGTTTATTATAACTTTACATAGCAATAACATACCTTTGCCTATAGATTGGCATCCGCGTCGGGTAGATGAAGTTGAGCAGGGTGAGAAAATCCGAGCGGCAAAACGGCGACACGTCGACGCGGCCTCCGGGCGGCACTTCGCGCATCAGCTCTTCTAAAAATACACGCATTCTCCCAGAATGGTTATCTTGTAAAACCTAATAAATCATAATTCTAATACTTGAGCCCAAAACAACACACTCATGGGCGAATGGTGTGCAAGCAGGGCTCTCCCGTGGTGAGCGGTTCTCCGTCGGGAAACATCAGCGTCACGTCGCCGTCGTTGAACTTCGGATGGGGTCGCTCGATCTAAAAAATACCAAAATGTAAACTTGCTCACAATACAAGTAAGATCCCTCCTGTTAATCCATGTATTCTCATTATCAGTTCTCATTTTTAACCATTTTTAACGGACATTCTCTGAAGAGCTTTCGAGGAAATCATTGGCACACATTCAATGATTTTAATAAGCCAATAGTTTATTGAGTTTGAAATGGAGAGATTGCGGAATGGGACGCGATGTGATGGCGAAGAAGATTTTGATTCAGGTTTTCATTTGAACAGAACAAAACTGAAATATTAGAAAAGGAAAGCTTTCACCTGAACTCAAAGAACTCGAAAATCTCTAGTTTCTAGATCTTTCTAGTTTCTAGATCTAGATTTTAAAGAATCCTCTAATCAATCCGAGACTCGAAATCAATCAGATTCGAGGACGGCGATGGTGAAAGGGCTGAATCGACGGAAGAATGCGAGGAACGCGTCTTCTTTTGACACCTGGAAAATCTCCAAAATTATGTAAAATCTATTCAATTCTTGAGCGTCAAGATGTTCTTTGTGCTCTAAAATTCATTGATATGAATCATCATCTCTAGTTTCTAGATCTTTCTACTTCATGAAAATCAACAAACAAGTGAATATGTTCAGCTGTGGACTCTTCTATCAGAGACTTTCTACAATCAGCCACCAACCACCGACGAGCATGTGTCCGTTTTCCTCTACAATCGCCCGAATATGGATGGCCGAATAAAAGTAAGTGTTTCAAAGAAATCAAGTATCAGAAAAAAGTTTTAATGTTTCAAAAATTGATGAATCCTTTTTAAAAATCCCTTTTAGTATTGGTTCAGTACGTCATTATTCCCTCGAATGGTCACCGCTTTCACCTCTTTGAATGCAACACTTTGGGGAAACGAAATGTTCAGGTTAGCATTAATGAAAAGAAAATCTCTAAAACTCATTTCCAGACGAGACTACACAGATATTCTGAGGGAAACGATACAGTACACGCTAGGGAATCGACTTATTTTGAGGGTTTACGAGTCGTACGCGATTGGCGATGGAGAAGAGTTGGAGAAAGCCTGTCAGAAGATGGATGACATGTTTGAGGTCAGTCCAAAGGCTAATTTTTAAGCTTGGAATGAGTAATTTAGAATGGGTTTAAATTACGATATCATTAGCCATCATTATCCATCTGAAATCGTTTAGTTGCTAGACGGCACATCGAACTTCGATTTGCGGCCGATTCTCCAAGCAGCCAGGAGTTGGGCTTCCAGCGAAGAGGAGGCGAATCGCTTCGAGCGGAACACGAAAATGTTGTTCACGCTGTGGGGACCGAAAGGGGAGATCAGGGATTACGGTGAGGCGAGAAAGAAACTTGAATATTGCATAGGTTTCGGCTCTTGCATAGGCTTTGAATTTCGGTATTGCTTTTGGAACTTATGAGTCTAAATTCATGAGCAGACCAGGCTTTGAGTCACCCAGAGCCAACTCCTTTTTCATTAGCTTAGAGCCAGTCAGCCAGCCAGCCAGCCAGACTTCACTCAATTCAATAAAAGCTAACCCAGACCAGTCTCTCTGTCTTTTTGTCTGCCTTTCTGCCTTTCTTGAGGATACTGTAGTCTGTCTGTCGGCCTTTCTCGAGGATCTTGTAGCCTGTCAAAAAAATTTGGAAGAGCCATAAAAAACTGCAGGGTGAGTTCGCTTTTGAGATGGGACGGAGTGGGACAAATGCATAAAAAAACATAAAAATTGCTTCCAGGAGCGCTGGTCGGTTGGCTTAGCGGGTGTTCTCATCAAGATCAGCTTCTTATCAAGATCAGCTTAACCTGGTCAAAACCTGGTCAAGATTTTGTTTTCAAAAGGTTTTTTGTTTCAAAAGTTTTTGCTTAGATTTTGATGAAAGCTTTGATGAAAGAGTTGAGCTGAAAAGCATAGAGTTTCCGAGACTGCGGAATGGGACGCGATGTGATGGCGAAGAAGATTTTGATTCAGGTTTTCATTTGAACAGAACAAAACTGAAATATTAGAAAAGGAAAGCTTTCACCTGAACTCAAAGAACTCGAAAATCTCTAGTTTCTAGATCTTTCTAGTTTCTAGATCTAGATTTTAAAGAATCCTCTAATCAATCCGAGACTCGAAATCAATCAGATTCGACGGACGGCGATGGTGAAAGGGCTGAATCGACGGAAGAATGCGAGGAACGCGTCTTCTTTTGACACCTGGAAAATCTCCAAAATTATGTAAAATCTATTCAATTCTTGAGCGTCAAGATGTTCTTTGTGCTCTAAAATTCATTGATATGAATCATCATCTCTAGTTTCTAGATCTTTCTACATCAAAAATAGGTACCTAAACTTTCTGAAAATATTATCAGCTTATAAATTTACAGTTTTTGAAACCTAAACAATTCCAAACATCAAACAAACCTAAACTTAAACAATTCGAACATTGATTTACCTGTGCCAAAAGCTTTTTCTGTTCTTGTTGATTCTCAAAGAGATCGGTGGCGAAGATGCAGAAAATCGGCACCGAAAAGTAGAGATCTCAAAGCTTGTCAGTTGATTCTCAAAGAGATCTCAAAGCTTGTCATTGGAGAAATAAAGCTGATGTGAATGTCAGGATGAGAAACTTCGATTGTCACTCTGGAGCTCACTAGAATCTCACTGTAGATTGAGTGAAGGAGGGCAATTTTCTGAGTAAAAATTTTCATGCAAAATAATGGCTAAAGCCTGAAGATACGTTCATCAATTGTCGTTTTGAGCTTTAAAAGGATTACTGTGGATTTCCAGGATCCCAAACAATTTTTGAATCAATTTTCGGCTTCCCAAACAATCACAAATCACGATTGCCTCAAATACGGGTTTTCGCTCATTTTCTTGTACAGTTATCAGCTAATGGGTGCTGCTACACTGGTTGTCAAAGAACCAGCCCATTGGGTCATGTGTTCCAGCCAATGCACTGCTAATAATTCTCTTTGTCAAAACAGTTTGTTCTAAAATTTTTGCAGCCTTCTTTACCGTGTATGTGTCTTTATCAATGTTCCACAGTAATCCCTATGAATCATTCTGAAACTCCACAGTAATCCCTATGAATCATTCTGAAACCGGCTTTTTTTGCTTATGCCCTCGTTGATTGATTTTAGAAGAAGTTCCTTCTAATTTAGATTCGTGCATCTTCCCTCGACCGCACCGTAACTTTTGTAAAAAGTTACGGTGCGGTCGAGGGAAGATGCACGAATCTAAATTCTTTTTTGTTAAAAAGCTTCACAAAAAAGCAAGGAACTATATTTAGAAAAAGAGCAAAAGAACTATATTTAGAAAGAAAAGGAACTATATTTAGAGAGATATTTAGAGCGAAAAGGATATTTCTTAAAACTCAAATAAATGAGGCGCTGCAACCTCATCACATCTGGGAGCACATAGGAAATTCAGGCGCCAAATCTCAAAGCAAATCCCATTGAATGGAGGTGGGTTACCACTGTTGTATGAGAGGCCTTGAGTGGTTCTCCCGGTGCCCGAGTTGATTGTTTGTTGTTGATTCACAGGAGCTCAGTTAGAGCGGTTTCATTAAAGTCAGCCAGTCAGCGAACAATTTGAATATCTTGAAGAAAGCTCTCATCAAGGAATGCGACGACTTAGACCCAGCTTACTTGCGCCGCACTATTGCCCAAAACAATCTGCGCTTTTCTTAAGGCCGATGGCGGTCATTTCGAAAACTTGTTTGCACTTTTCCAAACTAACCGATTCCTCGTCCCATTCCCAGATTGAAAACGTTTCCACCTGAAATTCGTCTCTTTTCAAATATATGAAATCTTTTCAAATTACCGTATCCACCGCCGTATCCACCGCCGTATCCTCCGTAATTGCCGTATCCACCGTAATTACCGTATCCACCGTAACCTAAAGAATATCCAACTTCTGTGCACTTTCATTTATCGCTACCGTATGATGGATAATAACGATAATAATTACGCCAATAACGACGCGGATAGTAATATCCATAGCGGTAATACGGGTTGTAGTAACCATAGGCTGAACGCAAGGTGTGAGTGAGAACAAAAGAATGGAAAAAAATACTCTACTTCTTGGAATAGAAGGCTCTTAAGGTCAAGTGATGGCTGTTAGTCTTGAAATTTTAAAATTTAAAAGCCTGACCCTGACCAGATGAACCAGTGCCTCAGGCTTGACATTGGCTTGACTATAACTTGTTTTTGTCCATGAATCAATTTGAAAACAGTAAATATCCATCTTATGAGCCTTTTATTCGAAGTAATACGGTTTAGCCAAATAAAACTAACTCGGTTGATAATAGTAGGGTTGGTAGGCGGGTTGTTGAACAACAGGAGTAGGTCGATCGATGTGATAATGATTGTGGATGATCGTGTCACCGCTATTCATCTCTCTGAAAGAAGTTCGGGTACTTTGCTAAGGGTTCTGTTTCTATAATAACAAGCCTAGGGCTACTGAACCTTTTCCTTGCTTCAGTACCCTTCCTGGTATCTTTTTCTGGAGTATTCAAATAAGGATTGAAGTACTTTGGAGTCCAAAACACTCACAATCTTCTTCTCCACTTGTTCCTCAAATGTTTCTTCCACAAATAATACTCAAACTCTTCGTCTTCATCATCAATCGCTCTTTTCACTCGAATATCTAGAAACTGATAGATTAAACTAAGCGTATTGAAGTACTGTAAGACCTAGAGTATTAGAAAAGTTGACTAAACTAAGCTTATTGAAGTACTGTAGGACCTAGAAAGTACTACAGTGCTACAAGTATTAGAAATAGTATGTGTTTTAGTGAAAAATTACTGAATCTCTTTTGTACTGTCTTTTCATTTCTATCTTTCCCACCTGTTTTCACTTCTCTTTTGATTCGGAACTCTTCATCCAACTCTTTCCTGAGTCACTTTTCAAATTGAAAAAATCTCTTGGCCCCAAAAATAGTCAAGGACAAGGAGGAGGGTTAAAAGAATGTTAAAAGAATGTGAAAAGATTTTCTTTTTCCAAAAAAATTGAACAAATTTTGTGCTGGGTGATTGATGCGATTTTTGAGAGGAAAGGTGAGAGAAATCTCTTGATTCAAAGATTTAAAAGAAAAACTTTTCAACAACACAAACTTTATCTTGGGTATGTGAATGATTGCAAGATGTCTTTGACTGCAAGATGACTTGGTTAAGCTTAAACGCGAGATTTCATAGGTTAATTGTTACAGGTTCAGGCTCAGGCCCTTCAAGGGCAGCTACAATCGGTATTCTTTGTTGTCTATGGTACTCCTTTAAGGCAACCACAGTATCCCTTGTTGGCTACAGTATCCCGGGCAACTACAGTACCCCATCTACCGTATTTGTCCGACACGCTGCCACTACCGTACTCTGCTTGATGCCTTTAAGCTCTAAGTCAGTTACACCCTCCAAAAAATATAGCCAGTTTACGGCAGTCCTTTCCTTAATACACCTCGAACTTCACAAAATCTTTTCAAGGCATTCAATTTCATTTCGAATTCCTCAAAACAAACATCTACCTCTTTCTTTTCCTCAAAAGTAGCATCAAACCCATTACCGATGCAAGGACAAATCTCTTTTGAAAAGGGCCATAAAACTTTTCGATCATCTGTGATTGAAAAATTTATGTCTACAAAAGAACCAAACAAATATATCAAGACTTTGAGATCAAGGACTGAACCAAACGTTTAAGCAAAACAAAAAACGGGTCATACTTCTTATAAAAACTATGAACAGATTCAGTGAAGGTTGAAAGTCTTATTCAATATCTAAGAATATTTTAAAACGAACTTTTTCAGGTTAAAGTCGAAGGAAAATCTCTTTCGAAATTCTGAACTTTTTCTAGTTCCTGATCCTCAACCTGGCTGGACCTGCCTGACCATTACTTACCTAGTCCAATGACTTGACCTGGACTGACTTCTATGCTGGACTTTAGCCTGTATCAAACCAATGGGCTAAGGTAGGGAAAACTTTAGGGATGAGTTGAACCAGGCGCATCTAAACAAAAGATTACGGTAGGGAAAGCTCAATTCAGAATTTCACCGATTTCCAGACATCTTCAGACAAGTCAAAACTTCCTGTTCGACTGCCCCGCCAAATCCTTTTGTAGCTGGAGCACCTTAAAGTTTACTATTCCTTTTTAATTTTTTATTGCTTTTCACTTTCTTAATTCTTATATACTAATTCTTGATGTTTAGAACAATGGCTTTGTTGCAATTGGCTGAATCTTCGTCTCAAGCCGAGAATGACCCCGATGAACTCGTGGAACGCTTGGTGCCCTTGGGAGCGGGTGGCGAGAAAAAGCAGAAGCAGAAGTGGTAAAGAGTCGACTTTATGTCTACATCGATGGGCAGAAATGGACCCCAGGAGACGACCTCACGCTAGATATAGCCAAAAAGGTGCTAGTCTATGTCAGCTCGGGAGACGATCAACGATCAGTTCACCATCTTCTCGTCGCCAAGCTTCACACAAAAGGATGGAAGGAGAATAAGAACCCGGAGCTCAAGGAAAAAATCCGAGAAATTTGGGCCGAACAAAGTGGGATTTATCTTCTCACATCAACATTTCTGGCCAGAACGGCTGCACGAGCATTAGAAAGTATTGTTCTAGTGGCCCTCGGCTGTGGTAGCGGCATTACACGCGATGAGGAAGATGACATGCTGTGCAATAAAATTGGTGGCGCATGAATTGCAGCATGAAGCGAAGAGGAAAAGAGAGCTTGTGGCATTCGTGTGCTGGAATTGCTTGCCGAAACGCAAAAGAATCCATTAACTCGCGCCAAATTGATGATGCCCAATCAACTTGGCCATAATGTTAAAAACACGAAAGAGGGCACTGACATCTTCAAAGGCAATGAGAGATCGACCCACAGACCGAGCCCAAGAACAAGCGATTGCCAGCGCAGACAAAGTGGTTGTAGATGAGATTAAAGATAAAGAAGCCCAATCGCAAAAATGGACGACAAGACAATGAAACTATCAATGATCGTCCAAAAGTTGCTCTCAGTGACAAATTGGATGACCAAACTAGTTAGTTTTTTGTTAGGATGTACGCAGTGGAACTTGTTTTTAGCTTTCTGCCGAAGATTTTCATAGTAGCAACACAATATCACTTTTCAAATCCGCAGAAACACAAATACACAGGTAATATGGGTTTTTGGTTTGTCATAATATTTTCTTTTAGGTATCTCGTCGAGTTGATTGAGCTTCATCCCATATGTGCATCGATTCGGCTTTCGTGCTACTGGGAGATCGTTTATGTATATGATCATTTATGCGTCGGCTCCTACCTCAATCCTCAAACTTTGCAGCAGTTAAAAGTCAAAACAATCCTGTCAGCAGAACTAGGTTTGCAAATCGTTGCTAAAACTTACGCTTTTATTTCGAATTGTGTGATGCAGAAGCAGGAGTGCCCTCTACATCACCGTTTCAAATGAAGTCTTTCCTCTTCAGCGCCATTAATTAAGGATCAGGTAGGTTGCTTTTAGATTATTATTCTTACTTATTCTTATTCTTAGATTACCACATATGAAGCTATCGTGCGCGGTGGGGTAGTGTCGCGCTTCGCTGCCTCAATTTTGGATGCTCCATAAAGGCGTTTTACCGGACTTAGCTCGTAAAGGTCTTCAATGGTGTTGCGTCCCCGGATCTTCGGTTTCTGTTGAACGACTTTTCAGGTAGAAGTCTTTATTTTTACCTTTACTTATGTTTGGTTTAGTCGACTTTGTGTAATTTATGGCAACAAGCGAAGAGGGCGGCTTCTCCCTTCCATTGTGGAAGATTTGGTGAAAGTGTACGACACTGATCAACAACTGATTACCTCTCCGTATTATTTCATGTAGTTTGTGGTTTTATTTTTTATTTTAGGCGTTTTCCAACTCGCTACACGCAAAAGTACGCGGAACGAATGTGTGAAGAGGGTCGTCTTGATGCTTCTGTCTTCGCGGACTACACTTCCCCTCGATCAAAGTTATGACGAAATGGATGATGACAGTCCGTTAAACACTATTAGTTAATCGCGTTGTTTGCTCTTTGTTATGTTTCAGTTTTTTGTTATTTTTTTGTTAATTGTTGTTTTTTACAAATAAATATTCAATGAATGTTTGATTTTATGATTTGGTTTTGGTAAAGTGCCTAAAATAATAACACATGTTGTTCACCCTCTTGTTCTCCAACAACTTTCCGCAAAGCTCCTTGGTGAAAACGAAAAGTTCAAAACGCATAATTATTTGAAGCTGACAGAAAGATAGGCGGACAGTGCGACGATGGCAAGAAGATAAAAAACCAAGCAAGCTCAAAAACGGACTAGTGGCGTTTCTGATCGTTGAAGCAATGTTGTACTACCTCTTTTGGAATTCTCGTTTTGAATTTTATTCACGGATAAAAAAAACGGTGTTAAGTCGTATGGTGTTCAGTCTTGCGTTTATCATCAATCGTTTGGTGGCTCCGCGTCAGTCCAATTCACTTTCCTCTTTGTGCGTCTTGGACAAGAGTTTCATTCAATTGTTTTAGTTGAAATGTTGCTAACGAAGTCTCGATTCTTTATTGTTTTTCGGAGTTTAACTTTAACAAGATGTTATTCAAATGGAACTCGGACATTGCTCGTGCCTCGGCCCCTGACTTCTGTGAAAGGTTTGAGTAAATTATTGCGTTTCTATTTTTTTTAGTTACACGAACCCTGCGGCAACGAACCAATGAATCGAATAAAGGACAAGAAAGTGAAAAAACCAGCAATGATGACAAGGAGGAAAAGCAAGAAGAAGAAAAGGTAACTTTTTCTAATTAATTGAATCAATAGAGTTTTAGGAAAGGAAAACCAGCTCCATGCCGCCGCTTGATGAAAATATGAGTAGGAAACAATTGTTTGACTCTTTACAGTTTTTGTTTAGAGCGAAGATTTCGTATCTACATACTTGGCATGACGGCGGTATCATTCGGTGTTACGCTTTATCTGATGACTCGATTGGTGCTCAAACAAGCGGAGGCAAATCCAGGTTATTTGTGAGATTTGACTAGCTTATGCAAGATTTAGAAGTTACGCCACAAGCTATTGCTGAGCCGGGAATCGCGATTGATGATTTTCTTCACAATTACCTTGAAAAAGGAGAGGTTAGTTTACTAAAGTAAATAAAACAATCTGTTTGTTTTAGGTCAGAAAGGTAGTATTTTTGCCGCATGAGAAAAAGGCTATCGCCGTTCTGCATGATGGAGCCGTTATTGGTGGAAGAATGGTATTGTATTCATTTTATTTCTTCAATCGATTAATCGATTTAGTCGAAAGACAATGTCGTCACGGTTGCATGCATGCAAATTAATCCTTTACAGAGAATTGTAGGTAGAAGATGGACTTGGTATCCCCCTTTCTCAAGGAGTCGCCCTGCAGCTACAACAGACCATTGACGTCTGGAGGTAGTTGAACTGCTTTTGCTTTTAATTTTTCTCAATTTAGGGTTTTGAAATTGACGATTGGAGTCTTCATAATCGTTTTCCTTTTTTCACAGTACGGACGGCTGATTGCAAATCGAGTGGCTGCAAAGAAAGCTCCGCCAAAGCAATAGGAATTCTATCAACTGTATACTTAAACTTTTTACTGCCATGATTGTACATCTAGTTTGTAAATAAACGTATTAATTTATCATCTGCTTAATTAATTATCTTTCTGGTAAAAGTCCAATGTTATCTCAAAATCGGTTCTAAAAGGTCTCTTTAAAAGTCTGTTTTGCGACGGGCAAGTCGAAATTTTCTGTAAACTAGCCTATTTTTAGGAATGTATTGATCTATGTAATGATTTCATTTAGATGACGGACACGATGCGTGAAGCGATTGCCCAGTTGATGGGCGCTCAGCGGGCAAAAGAAGAAGGTGCTTTTTATCATTCATTCAAATGTAGAGCTTCAATTTTAGGCAGAGATCTGCCTCTATACAACCATCATTCGGTGTGCAGACCATATCTTCTAAGTTGTTGTCCGGGCGATCTTTTGGGGGATACAAGGTTTGCTTATATATTTCTTATTTTTAATTCTAAGGCTTTTTAGGTTGGAAGGGCTTGTTTCTTGTCGAAAGATGCATGAACCGACTCACAAAGCTGACTACGAGAATGCTCAAGCACAGAAGGATCATTTCTATGACATAGAGGTACCCTTTAGATATAGAAAACTTCAACAAATATCTTTAGCTTTACAACATCTTGCAAGGCACAATTCGCTTGGTGGATGGTGAGATTGAGAAGATCAAGAACAAACTCGACCGAGACACGCGAGATGCCGGAGAAAGCGCTGAAATTGTGAAGGTGATAGTGAAATTATTTATTGTTAGTAGCTAAATTAATCTCTGCTTAGATGAAACGCATTGCTGACATTGAGGAGCAAATCAAGTTGCTTGTTGGGGAAATTGAAGAACTTGGCTCGCAGGTTTCTTTATCAATGTTTGATTTAATCTCGAAGATTTTAGGGTAAAGTTGAGGAATCAATGCGCACCGCGAAGAAAGTCGAGGAGTTGGAACAAAAGAAAAACGAATTGAAGGTAAAGCGCAAGCAAAATAGATTTTGATTGAACTTTTTGTTTAGAATGAAGGAAAGATGAACATTCCAATGACTTCTCAACGTGAGTTTGATACAGTTATGGATTGACTTTATATTATTTAATTTATAAATTTTAGAACGTCTTCGTGTTTGTGATGACTGCGGTGCACAGGTATGTGGTATTCAAGAAGCAAAATAAATTTCCTTAAATTTAGCTCAATATCATGGACCATGAATCGCGCTTGGCTGATCATTTTGGTGGCAAGATGCATTTGGGAATGGTTGAAATTCGAGAGCGTTACACCGAGATGGGGGTGAGTTTTTATGGGCGAAGACTTTTCGTTCGACAACACGAAGACTTTGGGTGACCGTCTCGCTTTAAGGAAATTGTGACGTCGCCCTTCTTGGCCCTCTAATATGGCCACGTAGAGCTTGTTTGCGGTTTTCCATTTTCCCGTGGGTTCACTTCTCGCAAACGATTTAGCACGCGCCTCGACCCAACCCATTAGTGTTTTTTGCCTAACATAATCTCAAGAAATTTTTTATAAACTGGGCGGTCGAGGCTTTTCAGCAGAGTTGGTGAGGCTCTTAAAAGTATACCCGGCCGTCACGAGGTCTATAGATGGAAAACACAGCTAAACTGAGAAGTAAAACCCGTATGATAAAGATTGGATATTTAGCTTTAAACTTTATGTAATGTAAGAATTATTTTAGAGCACCATCGATGAGCGTCGTAAGCTTTATGGTGAGAAGAACGGTGACAGTGGAAGGGAGACACTGTAGATTGAGTGAAGGAGGGCAATTTTCTGAGTAAAAATTTTCATGCAAAATAATGGCTAAAGCCTGAAGATACGTTCATCAATTGTCGTTTTGAGCTTTAAAAGGATTACTGTGGATTTCCAGGATGAATTTACGAGAATTGTTCGTCTTTTAAGTTCTTTATGTGATAGAAATGGGTTTTAAATGAATTTAAATGATTTTCTAAAGAGATTTTCTAAAGAAAAATCTTCAAAATACGATTCCGATTCTTTTGCTCATAAATAAATCTGATTTTTTTTGTTTTTAAAAACAAAGGCATTGAATAGCTTTAAAAAGTCTTAAATAATATAATAAAATGATGCAGTTTACACTAAATTCATACCTAAATTGATGTTTTAAATGTTGACCCAATTTGCTGCTGATCACCACCAGTGACAATCGATCCTTTGTGTTCATTGTGTTCATTTCATTGCTTTTCTTTTTCTTTACTAAATCTAACCATTTGCATCTTCAACTTTTGATTAAATTAAAAAAATAAATTGATTGAGATATTATTGAGACTTTCAAAGCATTTGAATATTCAAAAAACTGATTCAAGATGAGGCCTTTGCCCATTCTCCTATTCGTTTCCCTGCACGGGATGGCGTTAGCCGGGCACGTACAAATCCCGCTACGCCGCGTCAAGTCGATATGGAGAAATTGATGGAAGAGGTTTGACAAAAGGAAGAAAGTAAATAAAACTAGATTCTCAGCCAGCTTTTATATTTCCCATTGTTTTTTCGCGAGCTCAATAATCGAAAATTGCGATGAAATGTGAAATTATTAAATTATTTTCCATGTGATTAAGGCAAATTGATCGGATGATTTTTTGAAATACAGCTTCTCTGTAAAACAGTCTCGACTTTTTCACAACCGGAAAAATGTCCGGTTAATTGGCAAGGTTTAAGACTGGCTTTGCTTCGAAATTGAACATTTAAAAGCCATTTTAAAGCCATCTTTAAGCTATCTTTCCCAAGCTACAGTGCTTGATCGGGTTTTTTTAAAAAACCATGTTTCAAATTTTTTGAATTAAGCACTTCCTTCGCTCGTTTAATTCCGGTGTTACATTTGGATTTAAAATTTTACCCATCACTTTATTGACTTTCTAATCTCGTGCTTTGTTCATTAATTTCCCGCGAATTTCATAAATCCTTGATTGATCATTTTTCGATTTGTCCCTCTCTCTCGCAGACAACACCAAAACTTATTTACCCAGACTTACCGTAACCCTTAGAAAATCGATTTTCCAAAGAAAAACCAGTTTTTACCAGTTTAGACCAGTTTAGACCAGTTTTTATCTTACAATGACAAAATGTTTCAAAGTAAAGCAAAAAATTACGATTTATCAAAATTCAGTTTCAAATTTCTTTTGATTATCACTTTTCCCCATGGCAGATACCCAAAAAGCGATGATAACTTTGGGCAACGTCGCCTTCAAACCGTACTACCGCGACGCGCAAGTCAAAGAAAGAAGTAAGAAGAAAGAAGAAAAACTGGCGCGGGATTACGGTAGTTTTGACTGGAATACCTTTTAGAAAATGGATCAGCTGGAGGATTGGAGGTATTAGTACTGTTTTAAATTATTCTTTTGATATGCTCAACAATTGCAATTTTTCTCCAACTTAAAGAGTGATTTACCATTTGTTATAATCCTCGCTGTTAGTTGAATTTTCGTTTTTTGCGAGCAGGCCATAAAGAAATCACGTCCGTATTCCGTCTGCCAGTTTTCCTTTTGATCAGCCCAATTTTGGTCCACTTCTATGTTTATTTAAACTTGTAAATGCTTTTTTTAAAAATTGAGTTTCAAAATTCTCGGGCTGGGGATCGGGGTCGGGCTTTTTATTGGGGTGCTGGTCGAAACCTGCAACTTCAACAGCTTCTTGACGATCTAATTCTTTTCTATAATTCCTTTCAATCTTACGATGACAAAATGTTTCAAACGTTTCAAAGTATTCATGTATCACGAGTAAAGCTTATTTTGATTGATAGGATTGCATTTTGATTTGGTCCTTAGATTGCATATTGCATTATTGTATTTTCTTCGGAATTCAGCCCCCCAACCAACCAGAAAAACAATTGTTTTTCACGCCATTGCTTTTTTGATTTAAACGAATTTCAGCAGTTTACAGTTGAAGTGGCCAGCCTTTAGACCAGTTTTTAAATGGAATTAACGATTAATGGAATGATTAATGATTAATGATTAATGATTAATGGAATAGGCAATGAGTCAAACTCTCACAAACCTAGAATCAAGTACTTAAAATAGGGAAAATTGTGATGAAGGCAAATTGATCGGGATGATTTTTTGAAATACAGCTTCCTCTGTAAAACAGTCTCGACTTTTTCACAACATTTGGATTTCAAATCTTACCCATCACTTTATTGACTTTCTAATCTCGTGTTTTGTTCATTAATTTCCCGCGAATTTCATAAATCCTTGATTGATCATTTTTCGATTTGTCCCTCTCTCTCGCAGACAACACCAAAACTTATTGGACTCACAGCATTTGGATTTCAAATTTTACCCCTCACTTTATTGACTTTCTAATCTCAATTCCTGTTCATTCATTTTCATAAATCCTTGATTGATCATTTTTCGATTTGTCCCTCTCTCTCGCAGACAACACCTTCCTGAAACCGTATTTACCCAGACTTCACCGCAAACCCTTAGCAAAATCGATTTCTCCAAAGAAAAACCCCAAAAAATGCAGAAATCTCGCCGAAAAGAAAAGGCCCAAAATAGCAAGAAAATTTGGATTTCGCAATTCATCTCTATCTCTCCATCTGAAACCCGTTCGAATTTTTTTCTCGTCAAATATTTTCGTTTTCCAAGGAGACTCATGTTTTTGTGGGTGTTTCAAAAGCCAAATTGAATAGATTTCCAAAGTAAAGAGCCAAGGTTTCGGTAATGAATGGATGCAAAATGGCACAAGAAAAAAGCCTCAACTGAAAACTCATTTGCTCTCCAAATCGGTGATGGCACCCCGGAAACAAAGAAATTTCAGATCAAACTAACCAAGAGTTTTGCACATTTTGGAATATTCAATAATTAGAATTTTGATATATTTTGATATTTTGATAATTTTGATAATTTTTGAAAACGGATCAAAAAAAGAGCTAAAGTTTCAAAGTTGGTGCTTAAGTGCAGGAGGTTGAAGACTTAAATGAGATTTGCGTGTTCAGCTTCAGCCTCAAAGCCACCCGGAACCAGCGTACGAATTAACAAACCTCGCAAGTCGGATTGCACGCCGGAGTTTTTGCAATTTAACCCATACTGCTCTGGTACAATTGTTTACTGTTTGCTTACTACAGGCAACGGCATTGACCTTTCAGCCTTTAAAAAAGCGGTAGTTTCCTTTGAAGATACTTTATGTTGATGATCCATCATTATCAATATTAGATCCTCGAAACTCGAATCATCTCTGCAAATTTGGTTTTTAGTAGTATTGCTGATTCTTCTTAAAAATATTTTGAAACTCAAGCTTTCTCAGATCCACCATTCTTCTTCGCCAGTAAGCTCAACTGGGGTGAGCAGATCCATCGGGTACCTCTATCAAGGCTATGAAAACACCGTAACCAAACTGGTACCAGCTGACTCCTGTGAAAACTGATGCCAGACTTTTCTTTATCAAAAAGAACATTAGAACATTTCTGAGTTTTGATTTTTGAAATGTGATTGAGCCAAAGTAATGATTGATAGGCACATTGTAGCAAAGAAAGATCAACCGGATACAAACACGAAGTGGCAATTACAAAGAAGAGAACAACTTCGAGAAGCGACGCGCTGAGGGACAAAATCCGGCAGAAAGTACTCCGTGGATAGGGACTCCGGTGCGAGAAAGGGCCGTACATGGTACCACAAAGAAAAGGATAGACCGTATCTAGGGATATGAGCAGTTGGCACAAAGTACCTCAAAGTGCTTGTTGTTTCTTAGAATATCCCTAGTAGCTCCTACTGGTTTTAGATCAAACAAAACCCAAAGATTCACGCAATTTTTGGCGATTTCAAAACCCAAGTTTCAAAGTGTACACTTTAGGAAAGGAAAGCTTAGGAGGGGAAAGCTTTCACCTGAACTCAAAGAACTCAAAAATCAGTCTCTGTTCTCTGAAAAAATCAGTTTCACTTTTTGATAGTGTCAACTCGATTTCTTCGGGATCAATGACGCCTTCAAATTGAATCTTAGTAGAAAGAAAATGGCCTTGTGGCTCTTAAGGGCACAAATTTCGGTAGAAATTTTTTTGAAATTATTTAATTAGCTAATTTTATTTAGTATACAAATGTAAGTCTTTAAAGTCATCTACAATGAAAAAAAAACCTTTTTGAGAGATTTTTAAAGTCAATGATTCAACTTCTCTCACTAGAATTTATTTTATAAAGTTAAGCTTCCCCGATTTACTCTTTTCTTAATAACTTAACGGGAAATGCGAGAAATTAAGTGCACCAAAAGAATGTGTTTAAAGGTATTCTGAAGAGCACAAAGTGCACCCTGTATGGAGTTCAAACAAAGTTCTCTCCCTCTCTCAGCTTTCCCAACCTCCCCCTCCAAAAAGGTCTCTTCTCCCTTCCTTAGTTTCTAGTATTTCTCCCCTTCCCTTCTTATGATGAGGTGGAAGATTCACGATGGATCGCTGAGTCCGGAAGAGATTGAGGCAAGGCAGTTGGAGGGGAAATCGAGAAGAAAATGGAATAGAATTTTTAGGAATAGATTTTAGTAGGTCCATCCCTTGTCAAGATCCAAGCTTCTTTCTCTACTTACTGTAGGTGTACTCGAAAGTCGCTTGCACTTTTCCTGTCTCGGAATAAACCATTAACGGGATTTCGTTGCTCTCTGAGACGAGTCGCCGCAATTGTGATTCAGCACAGCAAAATCTGAAAGGTTTATGAAGTTGGGTTTCAAGTTGATCGGCTTGAGCATGGTAAATAATGATAATCATTTGGCTCAACGAAAGAGTTCACAATTTCTGCTCCGGATCAGCCAAAG